CGGTCATCTCATGCCAAAACCAATGAAGCGGAAAGAGGGGATAGGTGAAAGCACTCGAATGACCTATAAATAGTCAGATCCCGGAAGAATAAGTCCAGTTGTCACCCGAAGATGATTGTGGATACTAACAATCGAAACATAGTGACATAAATGGGTTTGAAATCTTTTAATTTTTTCATTTTTTGTTGATAATATTTGTAATTTTTTTTTGTTTGATAAAATTGTTATGTTCGGTTAATCTTTTTGATTTTTTTTTCAGGGTTATCAAATCAATTTATATTATATTAGACAATGGAAGTCTGAACTGATGCACTGATACACCACGAAACATTGTCAACCACCTTCAAACAATACGGGGGTGGTCTTAAAAGTTTCCGATAAAACAAAGATCTGAAAAAAAAAATCTGTTTTTCCGTTAACCAGCTGTCGCACCCCTACGAACGACAACCCTCAGAAGTCGAAACTTGTGCGAGCTAAGGATTAACGAGGTCTTACATTTTAACGTGTGATTCCTAACACGGGTTGGACGATAGCAAGTGAAGATCGATCGTTCTGACTAGGGCTTGAACCACCGACCAACACGGCAGTCAATTCGAGTGAGTGAACAAATCACCCACGCCGAACCGCTTGGCTACCGACTGACCAACACGACATATTTTCAGATTTTTTTTATTTATCAACATAGTCTCCTTTTAACTCTACACACTTCTCCCATCGATGCTCCCATCTCTGTAACCCGTCCAAATAGTACTTGGTGTTTTTCATGTATCTTCGAGCGCAATTTTCAGATGAAGGACCCAAAAAAAGTTGCTTGGGGATAGATCTGGTGAGCAAGGTGGATAGTCAAACAGTTCAAACCGTAATTCTGGATTTTCGCGATGGCAACCGCGTTGTCTTGGTGGAGCAGAATTTTCGTTTTCTGCAAATGTGACCGTTTTCCCGCAAGTTTTGCCTTCAGCTTGTATGCATAATATGCGTAGTATGCACATTTGATGATTTTTCCGGCATTAGCCAGGAAACAATTGCTATTTAATATTTTTGAAAATTGATGACAAAAAAGTATATTTCAATAATTTTCATTCGACTTCAGGCGAATTTAATGTATATGCGAGTTATAAAAAAGTAGAATACAAACCCCAATTATGATATTTTTTTGGTATTTTAATAGTCATAGATGTCCATCCTGTTTATTAATGCTATGATATTGTAGTGCTACTTCTATTAGAGTTAGGCTAGTGTAAACATCTTTAGAGATGTTACAAAAAAAACGGAAAAAATGGTGCTTTTCAATAAAAGAGAATGCTCAATTGTTTTACTATTTTATTTCTTTTGCAGAAATCAAAAATTAAATAAACAGAAATATCCCATTCGGAAAAAGTAAATTATTTGGGCTACTTATTACATACTGAAAAAAATTCATGAGATATATTCATATTGTCCTCATCAGGTGTACTTCATATTGAAATAAGAGAAAATACTTCTCCGCGTATGGAAATCATATATCGGCTCTTTGTTGCTCCAATTCAGCAGGTTCAGATTAATGTACACTCCTTCTATGATTCGTTGCATCTTGTTGATTTTTATGGTCCTCCGATAGACGTTCAATGTCATCTAGTTGCCTTTCAAAATCAAAGAATATTTTAAATTTCGATGATGTGAGTGCTTCATCAGGCAATGAGAGATGTTTTTCTGATGTGACGGGTGTGCCCACCTTCAACTGGAAGTCTCCAGTTTCTTCGACTTATGTTTGTGTGATATGATCAGATTGAACAATTCTGGTTGTTGTTTCTCATCTGATATGGGTGGAACTTTTCAGAAGTATCCCGTTGCCAAAACTCTCTCATTGGCAAATTCAATTGGTTGGATTGAAAGCTTCGAGTACAATTTCTGCAAATATTGAAAATATGGTAGATAGTAAATAAGTATCAGTTCGGTCGCTTTGAACATGGTCAAGTTTCAAGTGAGTATTTTTTCAAACATAATTTTCAAACCAATGAATGAAACTTGTGTCTTTCAGAGATCTTTCTCCTATAAACATGTGAATACAGAATTCAGTCGAAGAGCGCCTGGAAACAACGGAATTAGATTGTTATATCATCAAATTATTTTTTTGAGTATAGTACGATGCTGAAAAGGTGCGAAAACTTTTGGGTCTAGGTGTGGCACTGTTATAAATAATCGTATGGAAACAAAAATTGTATTAGTTCATCGAGCTGATGATAGAAGCAGACTTGGGGACTTTCCTTTCTGACACATACACTTGCCTACCGCAGAATATTTCGGAGAAATATGAACCATGCGGTTCCAACTCGCAGGAGGAAGTAGGTAATGTGGAGAAGGGAGAAAGTGCAGCATTGGGAAATGGTGTTGTGAATATATGAAATGTATTTGTTATATGTTATAAGTAAAAAAAACATGGTGTAATCATATTTGCTTATCATATTCTAGTCTGAACAGAGCCATTAAGGGCATTGTAAGAGAAAACAGCGGTATGAAGGAAGAGTGCTGTGTGCGGGTTGTGTGATGAATATGGAATTGGCATTATACTAGCACAAAATAATTTTTTATATCATATGGAACGTCTATCGAAAAACCATAAAATCAAACAAAATGCAGCAAATTACAAAATATATACTCATCTATACTTGCTGAATAGGAGAAACAAAATTAAAAACTCTATGCCGAATATTGCAAATGAAAATTCACAAAAATTAAACGTCGAAGAACAGAGGCGATTAAATATTGAGAATTCAAAGAGGTCTATGCTTTCCATACGCAACGAAGTATTCCTCCAATGTCAAGATGAAGTACATATTTAAAAAAATATTTGATAGAAACTACTTTCTGGCTAATCCTGATTATTTATGAAAAAAGTTCGTGGAATGAAAGTGTGTAAATGGTGGTTCTGTTCGACTAAGCTTTTACGAATCCTACAAAAGTATTCCAAGGTATGTGTGACGGCACAGCCCTAGAAAACGATTGCATACACGGAATTACTTTTAAGAAAAAAATCCATTCGACCTTGGATACAAAGCACAGAACATTTGTATACACGAGTGCCGAGTAAAAACGCTATCGACAACTCTTCATTACAAAGCATAAGTGCCCCGAATCGAGTACACCGCACACATCGCTATCAATGAGTCGAAAGCAGCAATGCAATACATCGTTGCACCGCTGTGTTCTCGTTCTGACTGAACCCTTGGCGACAACCGTCAGCTCATCACACCACACATGTCACACTTCTTATAAAAACACACCCCCCACTCCTACACCGACGTCGGGGACAGAATCTAAAGGTCAAATTTCATGTTCAAAGTCATAACTCACGGGCGTTTGACTTGATCGAAAGCCAATTCAAGGTCACAGCTCAAGGATGTGTGGCGTCACTAAAAGGCATATTGCATTATGTCACGAGCACAGATTTGAATCTTAAGGTCAAATTTCATTTCAAGGTCAATCTCCACATTTAATGTCAAACCACAAAGTCGTGAGACGTCCTTCAAGGTCACGTACCTAAGGCCTCTTTTATGCACGTGCAGTTTGCAGTCGAATGGCACAACATTCGACGTTTCAGTGTGGTGCCTTCGCTACCTTTTTATACAAGTTGCAAGCGTTCATGCGGCTGGTAGATCTATTAGTACAATGTTGTCAGATAAGAGAAATAGAATGGATCCGTGCGTGTTATATTATTTATTGATATATCGCAAAAAGCACAGAACACAAAGACGGTAGGCTTTCCATCCTATTAATAAAACACGATCTATCGATGGGGCCTTCTGAAACTTGTACATGAAGTTTAGAGAGGATCGACAAAAATTCTTCAACTATTTTAGAATGTCTATTCGATAATTCGACGAGATTGCTATAAAAATAAGAGAAACTATCAGACGTCAACCGGAATTAGTGGAAAGTTTATTGTTTTCGCCAGAAGAAATGTTGATAATTCGACGAGATTGCTATAAAAATAAGAGAAACTATCAGACGTCAACCGGAATTAGTGGAAAGTTTATTGTTTTCTCCAGAAGAAATGTTGACAATTACTTCGAAATCTGGATAAAATGTCAGACAAATTTCCATCCACAAATTCTTTCTGATATTCTTATCTTTATTTTATAATATTCGGACGATATATCCCAAATAGCCGCCCGGCATCTGATTTCCCCAATAAACTGTTCTGTCTTGACGTCTGCCCCGTCTGAACTGTTTAAAATCTGTTTTTCCGTTAATCAGCTGTCGCCCCTATACGAACGACAACTCTCAGAAGTTGAGAAACTTGTGCGAGCTAAGGACTAACGAGGTCTTACCTTTTAACGTGTGATTCCTAACACGGTTGNTAACACGTTCCTAACTCATTTTGAAAACTATTCACTGGGACTCGGGGGATGGCAACAGAGCGAATGACGCCAACAAAAACGTTGAACGTCTGCATGAAAACCTACATATGGGTACGTGTATTTAAAGATGTATAAACACAAAATGTGGTCGGGCGTCTGCGGTCCAAATCTATATTTTCGACGGCATGGTTAGACAGAACCGCACGTTTGTCACATCCGACTGCAAATTTCTTGACCGCAAATGCATAAAAGGAAGCACTTGCTCCTACATATATAACATTTTTGAGCGTTTTATGCCGTTCGACTGCAAACCGCACAACGGCACGTACATAAAAGAGGCCTTAGACGTACGATGAAAGAAGGAGACAAAAAGTGAGATCTCGACATTGGAATGAAAAGAGCAATTGAATCATTGATTATTGCCATGAATAATAGCGATCGCGATAGTTGCTCATCATCCGACGGGTTTTCTGAAGAAGATAATGAACAATACATTACTGTAAGTAATTTTAAACTTTTTGCGGTGGTAGTCGTTTATGTGATTAATTTTTTGCGATTATTTGCAAAATTTCACAAAGAATGGTTTCTATATAGCTAGAAATTTTGTTATTTTTTGTTTTGAATATTAATACTTTTTAAGGGAAAAAAATATAAAACACAAAATAACGGTCCAGACATTTATTGAACAAGAAGTATTAACATTTTAATTGCGATTCAGTGATTATACATAACGTAATTACCTTTCACCCGTACTGTTGCTTAACACTAATGTCATCATTTTAACGAAAATCACTATCACTGAACAATGAAGCCACTGACAAGATGGATCCATAACTATTTGGTGACATCGATGAATGGTTATCGTCAGGACTATTTACTCTTCTATATTATTCCGAATATTGCTCCGTTGGTCGAGTAGCAGTTGATGGTGTTGCCATTTGGGATAGTGAAGGGGGGCTGCTCGGAGTCTTCACAGTTTGAAGGGTCCGATGATAATGTGGAGAAAGCTGAGTGAGAAGTGGGGTTGGCTTGGTAGTCTATTATTGTAATGTCGAAAGTTTGCTACTTGTGGTTGTGACGTAGTATGTGGATACTGATTTTGGCTATCATGTCTACGGGATGGTGGTGTTTGTTGGACAAATGCATCAGATGGATTCGACCCAAGGTTATTTTGTGGGACAGACATACTAATGTAGTAATAAGTTCATGATATCCATCCGTACTTTCAGTTTCTGGAAAAAATTTCAAATCATCTGAGATCTCCTCAAATCATCTGAGATCTCCTCCTTTGTCGGCGGTTTGGGTTGTTGATAATCATCTATATATGTTTCAAGTTTCTCTTACAGCCTCTTTCGCTTTCTTCAATGCGCAGTACTAGTATCATTGGTCGGAGTATGGTTTTGAAACCGTTCTGCTCTCCAATTCCTTCAAAGTCGTTCTCGCTAACCTCATTATTGCCCTCATATTCTTCAATATTATGAGTTTCAGAATTATTGTTGGAAAGAATCTCTTCTACAGATGATACGGTAGGGCGTGGCTTTATATTCTTTAAAAATTGTTTTGTTTTGTAACTGCTTGCCTGAAAAAAAAAAGAGAGCTATACACATTTTCTTTTATTTTCAGATTTCAGATATCTAGCCTCCGGCTGTACTCATACGGATCTCCATTACTTATTTAGAGTGCGAACTACAACTGCAAGTTTTATTGTGCCAAAGATATGTCGTGTACTATGGATTACGTTGAACCAGAAAGATTTTCCACAATTTTCAGGAGAAGTTTGGCAATAAATAGCAAAAGATTTTGAAGCACGAGCTAATTTTCCTCACTGCAATTGAGCTATCGATAGCAAGCATATAAGGATTATAAAACCTGAATATTCTGGTTCATTATACTACAATTATAAGAATTATTTCTCTATTGTTTTAATATCTGTTGCTGATAGCAATTGTGAATGTATATATATATATGACGTTGGTGCGTGGAAAGATGCAGACTCAACAATCTTTGAGAGGTCCTCTTTTGGAAACGCGTTGGAATCTGGTTCGTTGCATATCCCACTGCCAGTAAAAATTAACGAAGATTCGAAGGTTGTGCCTTACGTTTTTGTTGTAACAAAGATTTTGGAATATCCCTCAACGTAATGCGTTCATTCCAAGGAAAGTGACTCAAAGACAGCCAAAAAATTTTCAATTATCGATTGTCCCGTGCTAGACGATATGTAAAATGTACCTTTGGAATACTCACAAATAAGTAGAGAATATTGCATAAAGGAAATTGTGCGTTGCATAACTTTGTTCGAGACAGAGACAGTTTCCAAATTGACGATACACTGGAAATAGTTGGAGTACATGACACCGATAACACTGAGGACTTCTTGTTGCATAGAGAAAAAAAAGCTTGGTGTTAGACAATATTTGACAGACTATTTTGTAAGTTGTGCGGGTTCAGTTCCCCGACAAAATTCAAAAATATAAAAATTACATAAACAGTAGAGTATCCGTTTAGTGATCAACAGAAGGCTATTCTGAATATTGTAAAACATTTTTGGGTATACCTCAGGTAGGTGATGTAAAATAAACATGTTGATACTTACAAATGTTCAATTTTGTTTTCGCCTCGTATTATTCGAAAACTGCATAAAATGTCAGACAAATTTCTATCCACACATTATTTTTGATATTCCCATCTTTATAATCTTCGAACGATACATCCCAAATAGCCGCCCGACATCTGATTTCCTCAATAAACTGTTTTGTGGTGACGTCTGCCTTGTCTGAACTCATTTTGAAAACTATTCATTCGGACTCGGGGGATGGCAACAGAGCGAATGACGCCAACAAAAACGTTGAACGTCTGCATAAAAATCTCCATCTGGGTACGTGTAGTCAAAGATGTATAACCACAAAATGTGGTCGGGCGTCTGCGGTCCAAATTTATATTTTCGACGGCATGGTTAGACGGAGAACCGCACGTTTGTCACATCCGACCACAAATTTCTTGACCGCAAATGCATAAAAGGAAGCACTTGCTCATACATATATGATTTTTGAGCGGTTTTGCCGTTCGACTGCACGTGCATAACTGGCTCGAATCTCTGGTCAACTCCCCGCGTTCAAAGTCATATGACATTGCAATAGCTCAACGCCGTGTGACGTCAGCAAGGTCGAAAGTAGTGGGGGAGCATGTAGAACTGGCATAAGCCCCCTACTAACACATTTCATTCAAACCTAAAACATTGAATGTTTCGTTTATAACAGTTCAGGCTTTATGCCGTTATATTCTAGACCAGGGGTCTCCAAACTTTGAAGCCTTCGACCCATAATGATTTTTTCAGTTTGTTCCAAGGGCGAATTTCTGCCCATAACAATATTTCTAGACTAGGATAGTCGCAAAGTGCGTGACCTGAGCAAACTTACGTTTTTTTGCATTTCAATTATTATTGTGTATTGTGACACTTAGCGACATCTAGTGGCGAGTAGTGGTACTATGTAGGTACTATCTTTTTCAGCTACCCGCTAGGTGGCATTAGGCGTAATTTAATATTTGGAATTACCACGTTGGTTCAAGAAAGTTCTGGTTCTAGGTAGTGTATTCCGATCACCTCGAGATGGCAGTAATAATTGCATATAAAAAGGCTAGCGACGCAACTGCGAGTTAGTCTGCGTAGGNAGTTAGGAGACCCCTGTTCTAGACAACGAGAAAAATCAAAATATTCAAAATATTGCATAAAATTATATTTGACTGAAAGATCTTAATTGAAGTAGTTGTTTTGGAACAGTTTTGTTTTCAATTTGATTCTGAAAGAAACATCTGTGCAGGATCAATATATCATTATAAGATTTTTATTGATATATTCTATCTTACTTCCGAAGTTCCCCACGAAAAAGTTTTTTCCTAAAACTAATCTATTTTGAACAAATATTCCATTTTTAATTAAAAAACATTCTTATGAAGATGTGTCATTTTTAGAGTTTTCACGTCGAGTCGGTAGCTGCTTTCAAGTCTTAGTGAACTAATTTGATTTAATTCAAAGGATTTTATCCTAAGTTACCATACCTACCTGAAAGTGTTGCATAACTTCATTTTTTTCATTGTAAAAAACGAGGGAACAGTTGATGCCTAGGCAGCGTTTACAGATTGTAACAGCGATCAACACCGTTTAACCGATTAAAATGAACTTGAATCAGTGCTCATATTACATAAATATGATAGAACTAACCGATACTTGATGAAAATCTATTATAACGTATTAAAAACACACACTATATGAAAATTCCACTTCACAATATATTGTGACGCCCGAAGATGCTATTGTATAGCGAAACACGTGTCGCGGTTTCGGAAACTTTCAAGTGGAAATCTCATATCAAAATGTTTTTTTTTAATATATCGTATTTCACATAAACCCTTAAATTTGGAGTTTGAAAATATTTTTTGGGGTTCATATTATCGCTTTCTTTTTCTGGAAACAATCTCCACATATAATATCTCTCGTACACCAAATGCAACAGATCAAAATGAGCAGCAATTCCATAATTAAAAAAATGTTCGTTTCAAGCAAATGTTTTCGTGAACAACTATTTGAGAATCAGATAAAAATGTATTTGCACACATTTTATTTAACCGATAAAGGCGATGCACTGGGGATGTTGAGAATAGCAATTTTCAATGACAAAAGTTTTTTTAAAACCTTTATATTATGTGTTCTGTAAGTAGTTATAAGATTCTTGAAAAATAAGTGTTCCATGTTAGTTGATATATGTCAAAAGGGTCAATGTAAGAAAAATATATCAAGAGTATTAGTGATAATAAAAGAATTACAAGTTCTTTTATCAGGTTATGGGCCCAGACCGACAGAATTTGGTAACTATTTGGTAGTCAGAAAAAGTGAGGTTAAAATTTTTTTGAACAATCAAAAAAAAGAATAACGAAAAAAAATGGCTTCAAAAGACGCAAAATTCAAGATTCTTCTGTTCGAATTGAAATAGAAACGCCAGCAGCGGGTGCAACGCCAAATGAACTTCAAAGTAGGCATACAAGTGCGTAATGCACAAACACAGAAACATAACAAAGCCTGCAAAAGAAGAATTTTCACAAAAGTATTCTTCAGTTGTTTCAGTCCCTGCCTAGTAAGGAATATCAAACCGTAATCAGCTCACTTGAAACATTATTACTTGCTAATAGCTCACTAATTACCTTACCAGTGGTGGAAGGCAGATTACTGGATGAGAACGCGAGGTTAAGTAGTATCGGAGTTTTGAAGAATGAGGAAGAAATCTATTCCTCAGCTGCATTCCTTTCTAATGGATAAAGGCGGTTCAAAGGATCCCAGAAAAAAGTCCTCATGAAGGTAACAAGCAAGATCATGATGAGGAATTTCCATACAAGTGTCATTTCTGTCATAATGTCAGAAAAGGGAAAGGTGGTTGGAGCGCAAGAAAAGTCAAAGAAATTCTGGTAAAGTCCACACAGCTAAGATTGGCTCTAGCAATGATCAAGGTTCGGAATATGATTTCTGTTTCTCAGCCAGTTCTCAGAAATGTTATTGACTCAAGCGTAAAAGTAGTCACAGAGCTAGAACAAGAAATCAACCAGTTGAGGTAGAAAGAGTGCGTCGAAGTACACGCCCAAAGAGACTGCCAACTCATCTACAGATTATGTCTTAGAAGATTATGTTGCAGTGTTTGCGCTAAGTGCTGAATCTTATGTTGACAATGTACCACACATCTATGAGAACATAGTAAAAAGGGATGACAGAAATGCTTGGAATATAGCAGTACAGGAAGAGATATCAGTACTCATCCAAAATAACAACTTCATCACACACATCACCACACATCTATGAGAACATAGTAAAAAGGGATGACAGAAATGCTTGGAATATAGCAGTACAGGAAGAGATGTCAGCACTTATGCAAAATAACAACTTCATCAAGGAAGGAACGCCATCGACAACAAATAGGTGTTTAAACTCAAAAGAAACTCTAATAGGGAGTTGGAAAAGTATAAGGCAAGGCTAGTTGTGAAGGGATGCGGCCAAAAGAAAGGGTTCGACTAAAATGAAACGTATGCACCTGATGGCAGATTACCAATGTTTCGATTATTTTTGTCAATCATTAGCTCAAGGAATCTTTACTGTATGCAGCTTGATGTCAATAATGCATTCCTGAATGTTCAATAACAGGAGGAAATTTTTATGAAACAGCCTCAAGGCCTAGAGGATGGCACATTCAGAGTATGCAAATTAAATACGGGTTGAAACAAACTCCAAGAGCCTGGATGAAAAATGTAATGAGTTAATGATAAATCTTGGATTCAAAGTAAATATGATTAGTGTTTTTATTTCAAAATTTGTAGAGATGACATCATTTTCATACTGTTGTATGTTGATGACATCTTGATTGCTGGTAATGATTCTCAATTGATTGAAAATATAAAATCTAAACTTAAGTTTAAATTTAAAAGGAATCAGGTAATTTGACCTATTTTTGGGTATTGAAATTATTCATACAACTGATGTCATATATGTGTCAAATGAGGTATGTATATCTTAAAAACGTCCTGAAGACGTTTATATGG